TTTATAACACATTACATGCACGTCAAGACTTTGAGATTTGTCCATGAGAATTTTCAGATAGGTCACAGTTCTGCTCTTGTTGTTCAGCTGGCAGTTCTGATAAGCCTGCACAGAAGTCTGTGTGTGTGTGTGTGAGGGGGGGTGGGGGGGTTGCTTATCTGAGGCCAAACGGGGGAGTCAGATTTAGATGAGCCACAATTGCTGATTTCCTTCAGGCAGACTGTTTTTTCTTTTCAGCCTTGAGTCCTGCAGGAACTTTCTTTGTCCACAATGGTCAGATTTATGATAACACTCCACTGATTCACGTTATGAGCCTCCTTAAGGTCGAGCCCACGTGCTGTTGAGTCCTAGAGGCCGCAGGTGGCCTGTGAGTCTCACAAATCGCCTCCATCTTACAGTTTAGCTTGTTAATCGGGGGCGGCTGTGACTGAGTGGTTAGAGCAGTCGTCCTCCAATGCGAGAGTTGGGGGTTCGAATCCACCAGCAGTCACATGTCAAAGTGTCCCTGGGCAAGACACTGAACCCGTCATAGCCTCCGATGTGTGTCCCATTGGTGTATGAATGTGATCTAAAGCTCTGATTATAGTCTTTTTAGAACAATTTGTTCAATAGACCTTTTTCACGCTTCCGGGTTTTAAAGCGGATGTGGTGTTCAACACCTTCCGGTGATTATAGTGTTAGCATTAGACTAGGGGTTGAACGAGTATATAATTTTTAAACTCAACATTAACATAATAAAACCCAAGTAGAACTCGAGTATTTGATGACGTCATAGATCTCAAGATACAAAAATTAATTAATTAATTAAACCGCAAAAAAGGTCATTATTTACAAAAAAAAAGACCAACAAAACATTGGGAGTGTATATTATGCTCCTCCCATTTATCATACTGCAAATAAGTCACAGGAAAAACTAAACTATTAGTTTTTATTATTAAACTGCAAACGTGAAGAAACATGCAGCACGTCAAAAACCAAACTTAACAGTGGGGGGGGGGGGGGGGTCGACCACCCCGCACCACCGCCAACTGTGGTGCACATTAGGTTTAGTTTTAAAGATTAATAAGTTAATAGATTTTTTTAATAGGTTTAGAGATTAATATTTTTTGTTTGTGAAACAAGAGTAAACTGGTTCTGGTTCGGTGGATTGGACCTGGTGTTACATCATACTCTGTGACCTGCAACAGTGCAACACCGCCCCCTAGGGTCATACGGTGGTCACATAATATGACGTCACTACGGATACTCGACGTTACATTTTTAACCTCGATAGATGTCCTAGCAATCGATGTGTAGATTACTCGAGTACTCTGTTAATGCCCTACATTAGACTGTGAGGAAAATGGCTCAGTCTCGGTGCGGTTTCTTTTGTTCAGTTCCTGGTTGTTCTTGTGGGGCAAGAAAACAACCATATCTGTCCTACCATGCTTTTCACCACGTACCCAGACCAAAGGAGGCAGTGGATCCAAGCGATCAGAAGAGATGATGGTCCCAACTTCTGCATAAAGCCAGGGAGCACTTGTATGTAGCTGCATTTCACTCAGGAGGAGTTTGTCTGTGGATCCACCACCAGCTGCTTTAAAGGTTGAGCTGTTTCTTTCTCTTCACCTGGAATCATTTCATCACACCAGCTAAGAGAGAGTCTGTTTTTAGAGAGCTCAGAAACAGCAGCTTGTCCTCTCACAGAAAGCCAGCCAGGCTGAAGCTGCTACCGGAGTCAACGTGAAACTCACTTCACCTGGTGCCACATCCACCCACAGGTAAATATCACAGTAAGATGCTACATTATAAACTTGACATGTCATGGAGAGATCAAGTTACATGCACTGACTCACAAAATGTATTGATCTTCACGGAAATAACAATAATAATGTGAATAAGCTCAATAATTGAAACAATCTTGCTAATCGTATTTTATTTAGTGGTTTTACTGGTGCACTCCCAGCTGTCCTCATTCTGCTCAGTCCTGTGTTGGTGGACTCTCACTCCTGCTTGAGTCACCATGATTAGTCAGTGTCTTACCTGAGAGAAGATTGGCTGAACTAAAGGCTGGGACCATTTTCAACTATTTTTATATGTGAATGTGAGGCCCATGTTTGTTTGTTTTGTAATTCTTAAATAGTATTCATATTTATTTTTGTTTACTTAATTTCATATTTATTTTCCAGGTTGAAGGCAGCCGTCGAGTCTCGTGTAGGTTCTGTTCCACTCGTGCATCGCAGCTTGTGGGTGAATTTCTGCTCGTGTGTTACCTTGAACCATCCTTTTGTCTTTTAGTTGACTGAACACTGGAAAGCCTCGGCCTTGGCTCAATATTTATTTTAAGAATCACTATTGCCTCCATTAGAATAGGTTTTTAACTTAGTGTTAATAAAATGTGTATTGTATCTTGGAACAGTCTCCTGCTTACTTGTAGACAAACCCAAGTATATTTTCTGTATAAATTATGTCCTTGGATGAAAGTCCTGAGGTCGTGTTGCAGTAAGTTTATAAAATAAAAATAACATCCATACCCAAGCTTTTACATATTGTTCTAGTGTCATGTAATTAGTTATTTAAAGGTTTTGAATTATTTTAAACATTCTTCAATTAAAACACACTTGAGCAGCATACTGTACTGTTTTTATTTAATTTATGGATTGATTCAGTTTTATTGAAAGGAAAACAAGTGTCATTTACAATATCTAGTAAAAAAACAACAAAAAAACTTAACTATTTAACATTTTAACTGTACACTATAAACTGATAGTGGATTATAGATATTTTTCCCAAAATTATGCTATTTTAAAGAAATTGGCACATTTATGTATTTTTCATGAGTAACAACTGTTTACAGTATTTACAGTGATTCACAGCATGAGACTGAATATTAAAAATAAGAAGGAACAAAAGTGTGATTTGTACATTTTATGATTCTTACTGTGTTGATATAAACACATGGATGAAGGTGTTGAAGTAAAACATGTCAGCAGACTCCTCCTCCACACTTCTTCTGCAACATGGAAACAGCAGTAAGCCTTGGGTGTAGAAGCTGCACCCCTGCAGAACATCTGGACTGCTCCCTGGTTCTGGTCTCTCTTTCATAAGACGTTTCCAGTGACACTTGCAGAGACTGAAGATGTGAAGTGTGGACACAAAACACATGTTGTGAAGACTGCAGCATCGGAGGAAGAGCAGAAAGTGTGGAGCAGAATGATGCTAGGCAGGACTTCTCAGGTGGGCACTGATAAGACATCTGTGAGCCCTGTGGCACAGGACCACATCTGGATGGTACCAGCTCCAAAGTTAGGATGTGTGATAAGTGGTTGGGACTTCAGTTTCTCCTGCTGTCACCCAGTGAGATCTAAAACAGATAACTGTTTTTAGCACATACATATAATACTTGTTGTACCATATTTAGCTTTAAACAAGTAATAGATTGTAGTTTGAAGATGAGCTGAAACATCAGCAGAACAAAACAGACTTTGCTGCTACCACAAACTGTAACCAGTGAGCAGGAAGATGTTACTGTGAGCTCTCGGTACAGAAGTTGTCCATCGTACGTCAAAGTTCTTCAGCTGTCGGAAATGAACAGGAACTCTAATGATCATGAGCCGACCGGCTTCCTGACTGTTTCAAACCTGCAGTCTGTGGTTCCTCATCTTTCTTCATGGACCTGAAGCATCTAGCTCTGACAACTACCTGTCCCTCGACAATATTTCACCTGTAGTTATGCAGAAGCACAATTTGAACATTAAGCATCATAACTTCTTATAACTAACACTTAGTACGTTTTCTTTCACAAACTGTAATAACAAACACATATCAGAATGTTAAAATATCATTTAAAAGTTTATACCACGTCTGTCTCAAATATTCCAAATAATTTAGCACTAAATTAGGCTTTATTAAGAAGTTTATGTGCTTAATATGTTGCAGCTAACGGTTAGCTCGCTAAGCTACGTCTTTTCTTACCTTGATAGCTGTGGATATATTCTTCATGGAAGAACTTTTATCCTTTCTCAGGTTTATTGGTTCAAGAATTCACCGCTGCGACTTCCTCCACATCAGCGAAAGAAAAGGCCGGCACCTGCATAGACTCGCAATAACAGGAAGTGACCCAGCACCACGAGACGCTACTTCCGGTTGTCGTGAAAAATGTCTATTAGCTTTGTAGAGATCTAGTATAGAGCTGTATGAATGGGTAAATGAGGCACAGATTGTTGTAAAGAGCTTTGAGTATCTTGAAAAATGATAGAAAGGTGCTATATAAGTACTGTCCATTTACAATTTTAATCAGCTGATTGAGTCCTCATAGCACGTACCAAGCCATCATAAAGGCAAGCAGCCTGACCGGGTCCAAATTTGCTGTCGACGACTTCCTTGATTGTAGATAAACCAGGAACCAACCAAATCCAAAGAGCAGGAAACCAGTTATCATAAATCCAATTATATATGCGTCCTTAAAATCCACAAATCACAGCAGATAGACACATCATCAAATCTTCCAAGTTGATGAGATATCCAGCTGCACGCATGCAAGAGGGTTCTCAAGGACCCTGTCATTTTGTTGAAAAGAGTTTGTCGATTTCGTTAAAAGTCCAGCTCATCTGATCCATAATAGTATTTTTCATTCGGGATTTGTGTATCAGGAGCTCCGAGACACACGATGAGCAGAAGCAGGAGAAAAGGGAGAACGGGGGAGGGAGAGCAGTAGCGACCATCTTGAGCGAGAACCAGTGTAGAAAGGCTTGTTAAGGCCAGTTAAGACTCTGGCAGCAGCATGTTGGATCAACTGAAGACGTTTTAAAGAAGTATTTGGACACCCAGATAATAAACCATTGCAATAGTCCAGTCTAGACGTGACAAATGCATGGACCAGTTTTTCTGCATCATCTTTAGATCAGATGTTTCTAATGTTAGTGATATTACGCAGGTGGAAGAAGGAGGTTCTAGTAATGTTTTTAATGTGGGGGATAAAAGCCATGTCCTGATCAAAAATAACACCAAGATTTTTAACATTAGAGCTGGAGGACAGATTAAACTGTTACAATGAATTAAAACAGATGCGTCCTTTTATCCTGACTGGTTTAAAGTAAAGCAGACTCATGAGACCTAACTCACATTAAACAAGCCCAAGTGTAAACCAAACTGGAACAAGTTGTGGCTCTTACCTTGATGAACTGCTGCAGCCTGCGGTCTCGAGTTAAAACATCTTTGTAGAGTTTCACAGCTTTTGGGTGTCGACTGCAGAACTCAGAGTAAAGCTTCTTCATGTCTTCTGCAGTCTGGCCTGAAAACTATAAAAACAGAATATCCTGATGCTGCTCAATAATCCAGGTAGAAATATCTAAAAAAGTTAAATCTGGTCCTCTGGACATTCAAAAAACAAAACTAAAAAAATGTAGAAACGTTTCATCTTTCATCCAAAGGACTTCCTCAGTGTGAGGTGCTGTATTCAGCTCAGTCTCTTAATTCAATTCAATTCAATTCAAAAATACTTTATTAATCCCAGAGGGAAATTATTTGTTGTTATAACTCGTTATCCTCATTTCATTAAGATATGTTATAGATGCTGATGCTGTAGACAGGAAGGATCTCTTGTAAAGGTCCATCCCACAGTGGATCCTAAGAAACTGGCTGCAGATGCCGTCCGATCTGTTCACCCAGACTCGGCTGGCCTCTCAGTTCCCCTGGACTGTAGGACCGCTTGAATGCTGGGCAGAACTCCTCCCAGAGCGATGGCCACTCCTCCCAGCAGTCTGCTGAGCTCCTCATAGCTGTGGACAGACAACTGTAGGTGCTGAGGGAGGATCCTGTCCTTCTGCTGTCATGAGTCGTGTTTCCTGCTAGTTCCAGGATCTCAGTGGTAAGGCACTCGAGCACAGCTGGCAGGTAGATGAGAATGCATCCACAGAACATCCTTTCAACTCATTTGAGAGTTGGGGCCATAGTTGAGATATTATTTGAGCTTTTGAGATGTTAATCAGCTGCTGTTGGTTGTAGAAAACTGCCTTGTTGCCATGGTTACGCATCATAACAAATGTCCAAAACTAAAAAAGTTTCAGTAAAAATCCTTCCAGCTGCACAGCATCTGATACCAGAGGAAACAATCATCCAAAAAATGTGATTTACATCCAGAAAAAGAGGAACTAAAGTTTCCAAAAGCAAAATCTCAGAATGAAAGTAACAGAGCTGCTCCAACATGCAGCCACCTGGAGCGGCGCAATTCTAGAAATTAATAAATAATTAATTAATAATAATTAATTAAATTAATAAATAGCACCTTCTCAGAGTGGATCAACCAGTTTGCTGCTGACAAAAAAACCCAGCTGATCACATGCTCAAGAAGGACCATCAGCCTAACAATGGATCATTAGCTCATGGATCTACACTCATCTCCAGGCCAGAGGTCACTCTTTCAGGGATGAAGATGTGCACATCCTGGACAGAGAGGAACGATGGTTTGAGAGAGGAGTAAAGGAGGCCATCTTTGTGAAAAGAAACCGTCCATCATTAAACAGGGGTGGAGCCTCCAGGTTCAACTGTCCCCCTCTTACAATGCTGTGATTGTTAGTATCACTCAGCCCTCTGTGAACAGTAAACAGCCATCAGGTGCTAATGATCCATTGTTAGGCTGATGGTCCTTCTTGAGCATGTGATCAGCTGGTTCTGGTTGTCAGCAGCAAAACTGGTTGATCCACTCTGAGAAGGTGCTATTTAAGAGACTGAGCTGAAAACAGCACCTCAGACTGAGGAAGTCTCTTGGACGAGAGACGAAACGTTTCTACTTTTTTTTGTTGTTTTGTTTTTTAAATGTCCAGAGGACCAGATTGAACTTTTTTAGCTATAAAAACAGAAGCACTCCCACTGAAACTACAGTGACATCTGTTTTATGTATTAAATAAAAGAAGTTTATTGGTTTAAAGTGATGAAAAGTAGTTTGATTAGATGCAGGAAGTGAAAGTGGGGAGCCATGTCAGCTCTTGATTGCATTGTACTGAGCCAAAGTCCAGTTAACAGGACACAACAAATAATGCTTTGTATAAAGTTTAGCATCGCATGTTTGTGTTGTTGACTTTGAATTTGTGTGAAAACATGTTAAACCCAGACGCTTTAGATTCAGACTTCATTTGTACCTGTCGGAGCAGCAGGTCTCCCAGCTTGCGAACGATGAAGTTGGTGGAGCTACCCTCCACCAGTCCTTCCTTCCTCCTGTTCAGCAGCTCTGACAACAAGTTGGAGTGAAGCTCCACCAGTTGTTCCAGGCAGGGGAAGATGGTGTGAACTACGCCCGCCTCCAGCATCACCTCCTCAAGCATCCCTCGCCGGTACACACCCTCCATGATCCGCAAGGTCCGGACATGATGAAACTCTGTCTGGATCAACTCTGAGACACAGAAGAGATTCTAACAAATCTTTTTTGAGCTTCTGTAGTCACAGCAAACATGAACAATAACAAACATGTTTCTTCCAAGGTCAACGAGTCTTTACTGTCATTCTCATCACATGTGGTGGAACAAAATTGTATGCAGGGTCCCAGTTACATCCAATAAAAGTATAAATTGTAAAGAAAAACAGTAATAATATCTAAGATATGAACTAAGAATACACTAAGCACTAATATTACAAAAACAATACGAACAACAGCAGCACAAACATGAGTGTGTGAGCAGATGAGTAAGAATGAGCACAGCAGCGTGAAATAAATCAGTAGCATGAGATCAGCAGCATGGATAATCAGCAGCACATATCAACAATCAATAGGGCTGAGTACCAAACTTCGGTTCTTTTATGGTACTGACCAAAGTTCGGTCGGTATATGTATCAAAATATGCCTCTTCTTTCCGTGTCAAGTTTCGGTGATTGGATGTAACGTTAAACGTGGTTGAAACCACATGTGAAGTTACAGCCAATGACAGCGCTGCAACACAGGAAAAACCAGGAAAAACACATACGTGGTTACACCCACAGACGGGATTCACGTGGTTCTTTGGCTAACAATAATATAGACAAAAGGGCCTTCTCCTACTCCGCTCCTGTTTCCTGGAATATCTTACAAAAACAATTGAAGCTCTCGACCTTTGACCTCTCTAAGTAGCTTTAAGAATCTGTTGGACTCCTGGCAGGGACCAATGCAGACATGTTCCTGTTTTTAGTTTTCTACATTCACCTTTGAATCTAGCTGTTTTTTTGTTACCTTTTTCTTTTAGCCATCCTATTTGTAAAAAAATAAAATAAAATAAAAAACCTGCAGTATGACTTTTTATAACTGTTTATTGTTGTTGCTGTTGTCCATTGTTGTCATCTTTCTTTGTTAAACCAGGTCTCTCTTGTAAATGAGTC